TGTTTAGGAAGAAAACGTAAATTGGTCCTATCTTACAACTTTCGCTATACTTTCTCCTAGTTTGAGCAATTTCTTTAGAATAGAACTTCAATAAATTGAATACACAAATAAATTGAGGAGGAATATCAGCATCATGTGCGTGCAAGAAGATGAGTGGGTCGGAGAAAATGCACGTGAGATTAATCCCAAAGGTTTTAAGTTGTGGCATTTTAGAAACAGTTTGTCTGTGTTTTAGTACAGGGGTAAGACTGCGTACATTCGCCCCCCTTACCTCACCGTAGGTGGGACTATTGTAAGAAGACCGCTAAAATGTTGGATTATTAGTTTCCATTTTCCGTATATTTTTTATAATAATCCAAGTACAAACAAAAAAGTTATATCAGTTTAAAATATAGAGATGATTGTTTTGTAGGTAGGCCCCATTACCACAGCCTTTGCGGTTGTGGTAATGTTGTTTTTGGTTAATGTGGTATTCGGGGAGAGAGAAGACAAAAATGGTTAAGCATTATTGTGGCGCGTGATTATGTTAAGGGTGTGATGGAAGTCTTTATGAAGAACGACTGCATCATGTGCATTAAGTTGGTAATAGGAGATGAGATCATATTAATCGCAAGTGTCTATGCACCACTAGTGGATTTTGATGCATCTATCACTCAACAATTTTGGGAAGATCTTGAGGAAGTGGTGCGACGAGTGCGAATGGGAGAGAAGTTGGTCATAGGAGGCAACCTCAACGGGCATGTGGGCCCAACTCGTGACGATTTTGAGAGTATCCATGTGAGGCATGATTTTGGCACTAAAATGAAGTGGGAAAGAACATATTGGATTTTGCCCCGACATATGAGTTGGCTGTAATTAACACTTGGTTCAAGAAAAGAAACTCTCACCTTATGACTTAAGAAAGTGGAACTAATAGTACCCAAATTGACAACTTTTTAGTATGAACGATTTGTAAGGTCATCTCATGTGAGAGTGCTATCACTCACCATAGGATGCTTGTGCTTGATTTTTAAGGTAAAAAGAGAAGACTGAGATAAGGTATAAGTAGACCCAAAGATAAAGTGATGGAGACTCGATGGGGATCTCTAACAAAGTTTTGCACACAAAATGCTGGAGGAAGATGCATGATGTATTGATAATGACGCACATGTAGACGATGTGTGCCTATCAATGGAGTCGACCATTAAAAAAATAGCAAAGGAGATACTTGAAGAATCTAAAGAATGTTTGCCACAAAAAGTCACATATTGGTGAAATGATAAGGTGAAACCAGCAATAAAGACCAAAAGGGAATGCTACAAAAAGTTGGACAATAGTTGGAGTGATGAGAACATAGAGGAGTACAAAGAGGATACAGGAAAAGTAAAGAAAGCGGAAACTGAAGCAAGATGGGAAGTGAACAAGGAATTGTATGTAAAATTGGGCTCTAAGGAAAGAGGAAAAGATATTTATAAACTTGCTCGCCTTCGTGGTCGTATGACTCAAGATATCGGAAAAGTTAAGTGTGTGAATGATGTTGATCAAAGAGTATTAATTGATGATCTTACTATACTAGAGTGTATGGTAAATAAAGACTTTGTGAGAAAGATCCAAATGACAGAAGTTAAAGAGACCCTGAGAAAGATGGAGCGGAATAAAGTAGTGGGCGCAGATGACATACCGATCGAGTCCTAGAGAAGTGTGGGAGATAAAGACGTCGAGTGGTTAACACGTTTCCTGAACATGATTGGGAGAAACAACAAAATGCAATGAGTTGACGAAAGAGTACTCTCATTTTCCTATTTTAAAATAGGGAAAACTGTCAATTTGGCCATCATACTTTCACGAAAGAGTCAAGTAGGTCCTCGTACTTTTAAAAACATCAATTAAATCCTCGAACTTTGTAAAAACGTTCAATTGAGTCCATTTGCAGGTCACCCGCTGATGTGGCGCGCATGTGGCAGTCCAATCGACAGTAACTTCGTTGATGTGGCACACATGTGAAAGTCTAGTCAGCCATTGATTGATGACGTAGCGCACATGTGGACCTGATGACATGGCAAGTAACCTGCAAATATACTCAATTGAACGTTTTTACAAAGTTCGAGGATTTAATTGATTTATTTAGAAGTACGAGGACCTAATTGATTTTTTCGTAAAAGTACGAGAACCAAATTGACAGTTTTCCCTTTAAAATAGGAAGCAAAGTGCACGAGAAAGAATCAAAAGCAGCTACCCTAGATCATCGGGGAAATTTGCACCCAAAATCTTGGGATATCTTTTATCCTTAGGGAATGTTCGGAGTAGACAAGGCCCCAGTTAGTCATAGGAGTAGGGATGGACCCAAATCAGCTATATTGGTTGAATATGCTGAAATTTATAAAGTTCTGACTGAAGTTGCTAGATTGGTTGATTTATGGAAAAAAATATTCTATTAATAGAATAAAGAAAAAACTATATGAAAAAATAGCTAAAATTATCCTCTAGAGTAACTTCGGTCAATACAGTCAGAAAAGTAACTGCAGCATTACTTTTTCTTATTTTTACATAATTCAACGCCCGAAATCAAAAGTTACACGTTTGGTGAAAAAGTTGTCTGATAAGTCAAAAAACAGGATCACCAAACAGACTCGTAGATCGATATTTATAAATTTTAAATTTGTTTTGAACGAATTTATAAATTTAAAATTGAAAATAGTTTCAATGTATTTCTTAAAATTGAAAATAGTTTTAATGTATTTCGTATTCGTCGGAACTTCCGTTGATAGAATTTCACACCCCGTTCTCGAAAGATAGCATTGAATCCAGCCCTGGAGGCTTTTAACATTGCATTCTTTTAAATATCATAAAATACGGAGTATCTTTTTTCCATCTTTCCACAAGTGAGGGTAATCCAAGATATTGGCTTGGGAAAAAGGTCAAATAAGCTCTTATACTATTTTGAAATTATATCTTAAGTCCTTGTACTAAAAAAGTACTACTTATTTTTTAAAAAAGTATCATATAAGTACATTTATTTTAAAAAAAATTGATCAAATTGGTACTTTATTCAACTTTGACCTGTAATAGCAGGTTTTTATATTAAAAAACTTTAATAAATCATCAAAATTTGAAGAAATGTTGATAAAAATTTGAAGAAGGAAAAAAACAGAATGTCAAAGTCTATATTTTTGAAAATTTGAAAATATTTTTATATTCTACATCTATTTAAAAGGTTTCACATTTTATATTTTCTGTTTTTACATTTTCGCGTTATTTTTTAGTTTTCTAATTTTTTCATTTTACATTTTTAAATTATTTATCTAGTTTTACATTTATTTTGTTTTTATATTTTATTATTGCACTCTTTTCAAATTTATATGAATTTTTATAAGATTGATCAATACCCTTAATTATTATTTTTAAAAATAACCGATATATCAAGTCAAAATGACTCGATTGATTATATTTAAAAAGTAACTGTACTTATATGATGCTTTCTTGAGTAGAAGAGCTTAATATGGATTGGAAATAGTAGAAGGTATATTTGACCCTTTTGCCTATTGGCTTGCAGTCACTTCTTTTCTCACCTCCGGTAACCTGCATATATATCACCTCACGGGTCGTCCCCTCCACATTTGCACTCAAAATAACACTAGACTTATTATAATTTATCACTTTCCCCGACACTTCTTCTGAGAATTTCTTTAACGGCAACACATTCTACCCATCTCGCTTTAAATAATAAGTAGCTATCATCCGTGAGGAAAAGATGTGACAACTTATGTGCCCGCTTTGCAACAGGCCAACAGCAACTGCGTGTATATTTCCCATAACTTCCTGCCTGTGGGAACTATCAAGCTTCTGCTTTTTTTGTGACATAATTGGCAACGGTCCATGAATACAACCTCCCCCCCCCCCCCCCACCTAGAGTCGGTGAAGCATTCAGCATTCTCACAAAAAACCATATGAGGTGTGCAAGATACCAGTAGTTGGTACCACAAAGGTCTTACCCACGCAAAAGAAGTCTCAAAGGGAGTCAGGTGATGATGTGGCCATTGCGACATTGACAGGGGGTAGCTCATGATGGCGGGGCTCAGTATGGGTGCAATGTGGTGGCAACACTTTCCGCTTACTGAAAAGGGATTTTGATACAAGGTCATAAACAATGGAGGATTAGTATGGAATCGGAAAGTTGGAAAAAAGAAGACGAGTTGTACAAGAGGACTGGGGAGTAGGTAAGTGAGAGTAAATGTATGAATGTGGGAAAAAATATTCCAAGAATTGGTTGAAGACGGACGTGGGAAAGTTCCACCTCAGTTACTAATCACGAACAATGGTAGTGATCCCCCGAATAAGCTTTATCCGGGTCATCACGACTCATGAGGGAATTCTCCATGGGAAGTTGTCTGGCATGATGGGATTTAGGGAGGGGGTGATGGCCATAAGCCTACAACTGAAATCTTAGAAGGCAGAAGGCTCTCTACGAAGGCAAAAAATCAAGTTTTTTTTTATGTTTCCTTTTCAATTTTGTTTTTGTTCGATTTCCTTTTTGTCTAAAGCCATTTTACTTGTTCCGCTAGGATAGCAAGAGTTACTGTCTGGTTTAGGTTGAGTAGAAGTACGGGGAACCACAATGTCCTTGGAAAATCCTTTCCTTCTACATTTCTCTAATAATATTCCTCCCAACTAGTTAAATGAATCATTGAACCTGAACTGGTGGTTACTTGCCTTAGATGAGTGCATACAAGGTGCAGTACAAGGATAGCATAAACATTATGAGATTACAAAACCACCAACGATGAAACGCTACTTGGACATACCTTTTTATGTTCAAAACCCAGAGTAAAAATTTACATTCAAAATCATCTGAATGCAGAACATGTTCAAATTACTTCAAAGGATATTCAGCCCATAAGTGGAGTCTCACTTCTTCCACAACTATGAGCAACTAACATATCAGTTCATCTGGAAAAAAATCATTTAAGAGGTAATGGTATACTCCGCAGATGGGAAAATATAAACAGGATGACACAGATCACTGTCATAAAATCATAATATGCCGCATAAAATTAAGGAATACCGAATACCAAGTGAAAGAAGATCCCACAGCTGGCAAAAAAATAAAATCATAAATAATTTCCATGCCTATCACTACGACAGGAATGATCCTCTCCTCTCAGACAACTGAAGGTAGCTGCAAAAAGAACATTCTTATCAAACTGCCAAAAAGTTCAAAATTTAAAGAAAAATTGGGTTCCATTCTAAATTTCACTAGTTGAGAAGCCTCGTTCTTGGCCATACTCAAATATATACACCAAAAAAATTGCGCGAAGGCAATCTAGAGGCCAACATAAACATTAATCTTTCATTAGTTTAACGGATAGTGACAAACTTGTTGGTGCCATGCTTTGCCCAGTAAGGCTTGAGATCAATTGGGTTGGAGAAACTATACCCTTCAGATGCAAGTTTCTCCAACACTTTCTTAAATGCTCCTAGACTCATCTTCCTTCCAGCTATCCTTGCCCCACGCCTTTTTGCACTCATAGGCAATGGATAAGAGGATAAATTAGTGGTACAGCATGCAGATTGCCACCCACCAGAGCCCCACCTATAACACTGCTGTGGGTTCCCTGTGCACGAACAGACAGGTACAGGAATTCCCGAGATGTCCATACTCATACCATTAATAACAACTTCTGCACTCCTTTTGGGAGCCCTCGCCCGTGGAATAGATTGGATAGGAAGAGCGGGACACTCATCTAGTGGGAGCTTAGAGCTTCTCTTTGGCTTTTTAGGTGTGGGAAATTTCTGGATTTGGGATTTATCACCTTCCCTCTTCTTGACAAGCCCACTGCCTAACTTTTCTTCACAGAGCACCTCCATCTGACAATGTTCGGTTTCAGTTTTTGGCAGGATTGGTTGGTGTTGCAAGGATTGAATGGGCTGAGCTGAAGAGGTTTCGGAAAAGAAACCATAGCCTGAAAGGTGGGGGTGGTGTTGATTCCCTGAGGAGAGGACATTCAGACACTTCTCTCTACTATGGTTAAGCCATGCATCCCTCATGTACTCCATTGGCATTGCGGATTCCGATATCCCACCAATCCGGTGATGTTGATAAAGGCCTGGATTGGTCAATGCCATGACACCTGGGAGGTGAGGGTGATGGGGTTCATAGTGTTGCTGGCGTTCACGTCCTCCACCACCGCCACCGCTGCCAAATAGTTGCTTTTCTGCAAAGGTAGGCATGAGTTGCAGACCCAAATTGCCCTTCATCGGGTCGAAGAAGTTCCAATTCTTATAAGTCAAATTTCCATGGCCATCCATCACCAGCTGGAAATCAAAGGTTAAAAGAGATTAAAAAAGCAGTTCAGGATTTTAGCTTTATGAATGCCGTTTTTTACTTTCTCTAGTTTCACTGCCACCAATTGTAATATTTTCCATCAAAAGAAATCAATCCTACAAAAACCCCGAGCAATAGTATTCATGGCAATCAAACCCCAGGAAAAACGACATGCCAGTAGATAAAATAACAAGGCTAAAGGCAATGACTAGGAACATAAAAACCCATTCAATCAGAATGTGAACAAGAAATGCGATCGATTCTTCAGTTTCTGACAGATCTCTCGGCGGAAATTAATACATAAAAAGCAGCGGAATGATACAAAAATGTTACTCGTACAGAGAGGGATTGATTTGAAGCACACACAATAGCGATACATCTAGTGTATAGAAAAATGGGTGCTTACTGAATGCGAAGCAGTCGGCCAGCTAGGGTAAGAAACCGGAGAAGCAGTGGGAATATCACGCCTGAGAATTTATCAAGTGATGAACGAAGACGAAATCCACGAGACTACAAAATGTCATTTTGTTTTTGGTTCAAAACCATATATTTCCTTCTTTTCTTAATTATTACTAATGTAATTTGATTGGTTGCTTACTCCGTAATTGTCACACCGTACTAAAAACGTACTATTCTCTATGCTTTAAAAAACGAATACCGTGTGAATTGTTTCAAATATCTTCCCCCTACATATATAATGACCATAATCCCACATCCCTCCACATTAGAATAATACCATACGTAGGGCGGTAGGGAGCGTTTCAACTGCTTCTGCTTAAAAAAAGTACTTTTGGAGATATAAGAAAAAATTGATTAGTAGTCAAAATTGATAGTGTTTGAAAAAAAAAGTGATTTTGAAAAGTAAAAGTTGGTAGTGTTTGGTAAATAAGTGCTTTTAAGTCAAAAGCTGAGAAATGTTTTTTTAAGCTGTTGCAAACACTCCCGTAGTATCATTTGAATAATATCAAATGCTTTTAGGATGTTTTTACTTAGAGCGTGTTTGATAGGATGGAAAATAAATACTTTGCATGCGAAGTTGAGAGACGTAAAATGTTTACACGGTTTGATTTGATTATTTAATGTAAACTGTAAGACATATTTTAAAAACATTTTGCATTGTACTATGTAAAGTATTTTACGTAAGGGGGCGTGGTAAAATACTTTGAATGTTTTTTATAAAACACTGCAATGTCTCTGCGTGCAAATTAAAAATAAATTACACATCTAATTAAACAATATAATCTATTTTACATATAAAGTGATTATTTCTCTAAACTTTGAATGCAATCATTTTATGTGCAACTATTTAACGTGTAAACTACTAAACGAGCTCTTAGACTATTTTGAGTCGCAGACCAGATCAGACCAGACCAGATTTGGACAATTATAAAATATACAAAGACCAAACATTTATCAGAACAAACCAGACCAGGCCAAACCAGATCAGACCAGATCAGAAAATTTGAATCCCAATAAAAACATCCTTACCTTATCTTATCTTCTTATTTCAAATTAAGCTTAGTATAGTATAGTTTTATGTTCTGAATGTTAATTAATCTCAGTATAAATTGTAAAATTGAGTAGTGTGATTTAAATATCTCTTGTGCTAAAATAAATATGAATGCACACGGTGGGTATCTAAACTTACAATATTATCTTGGAGCATCCATATTTGTGCAAATCAAGCTAAGGATGATTTTACTTCGATTGGAACTTTTTGATCTGATCCGGTCTCAACTAATCTGGTCTAGTAAACATTTGGTCTCTGTGTATTTTATAATTGTCCAAGTTTGGTCTGATCTGGTCTTATCTGGGACTGAAAATAGTCCAAGTAAAAACATCATAAAGACCCATAGAGTAGCGATCATGTCAGGCTGACCCGATAAGACCTTCTGTACGGCAAAGGCCATTTAAGGTCCTTTTTGTTGGAATTTTTTATACAATTTAATTTATGCACACCAAATTTCAGCTTAAAATTCAATCGAAAAGACAATTAAATAAATTATTAAAAAACATTGTGTTTTATATATATAAACAACGCAGTGTTTTTCAAATGCATATTTGACTGACTTTTCAATTGAATGTTTACCTGAAATTTGGTGTGCATAAACTAGACTTGGTGAAAAACATTCTCAAAAAATATTCATCAAAATTTTCCATTGGAAAGGTCCGAAAATGGCCTTGACTGGACGGTGGGTCCTGTCAGACCATCCTGATATGATTGTTATTGTGTGTGTGTATGTGTGTGTACTAATGCATACTCTATGTATCTTTGCTGCTAACAAAATATACTAATATTATATACATATAGGCTATAATGTTTTTCTTCCAGCCCATGATGATGCAATAAGGGTGACTTTTATTTTTATTGAGCTGACCCATTAATTAGCTAATTAACGTTGTTGGGTTAATGACCAAATACTAGGATCAGCCCATTACCCCTACATCGACAGACGTCTAGGCCTAGCATGGGGGGGGGGGGGGGGGGGTCCAGACGAATGTCGCTAGGGGCAATTATTCACTAGGGCCCAAAGCAACTGCGACGTACATCTCCACCCCGGGCATCAGCTTAAGAGGCCCTAGCCCAAGGTTAACCAGCATACTCTTATGCCAACGGTCAAAAAACGTATGGCGCCCCACCCTTGGTGGCATGATCAGGAATAGGCTCAAGACTCATGGGGGCGCACGTCTTCAGATACTGGGTGAGAAACCGAGATTCTGGCGGGAAACGCATTTAATGCTGGAGATTCAGTGCTTGAGACCACAACCATCCATAACTCTCCACATTAGCATATCCACCTGCCCCTAGATAGTATAAATAGTAGCATTTATTTTATTGTAAATGGTTGGCAACTTACCCGCCTTAGCATTCTAGCATTCTGATAGCCCATGGCAGTGTTCACGGCTCTTCTACTTGTAGGATAGACGAACTATTGTTGGCCAGATAGCATTAGTGTGTACTTAGCTTCTTATTATCACTTAATGAGACAAGGCCCAATACTGCAGATACTTCTAAGCCCATCTTACTTGCTATTACTCCACATTTACGCACACCCTCCACTCGAAACTCATAGGTTGCATGTTGGGCCTACGGGTAGAAGGAATAAACCTCAACCAACGTAAAACAAACTATTGGGACATCTGCCTCAGATAGGATTCCATAATGTTACGTGTTTGCATCACCTTGAAGTTATAAGATTTTTCAAAATTACATAAATTGGTAAACTGAAGTTACAAAAATAAAGTATAATTCACTAACATATGATGAACATAATTCGAACTTACTTGTTCATAATTTAGTATAAAATGAACATAAATCCTAAAACATTGTGTTTTCTCATTTCCGAATTTATTTATCTATGAGGATTTATTAAAATCATAGTCCTGGATTAAAAATTATTCCATTATGAAGCTAAATTTAATAGAAGGCGGACGTCTCCCTAGTCATCTAGGGTTAGTTTTTCGCTGCTCCGTTTTTTTCCTCGATCGGCAGGGGAGGTCTTCGGTGTCAGCAGGTTGGCTTCGATTGTTCTTGTGTCTGGTCGGGAAAGGAAGGGCTTCGACTCTGTGTCTTTTGTTCGGAGGTGTCTCGGCGTGGAAGGAAGCAGGGCTGCGGATTCTGCTCCTGGTGCGCCACCGGTCGTTGATCGAAGAGGTTGGAGTTTCCTCGATCGCAGCAGGACTTGGGCAGGTTGGATCGCTGCCTTCTTGGAGTTATGGCCTTTTCGGCTGTGATACTGTTTCCGATTGGGGAAATTTCATCAAGCAGGGATCCCGAGTTCACTAGTGCTATAATTGCAGGGGTCAAGGAGATGCTTGTGGAATTTGTGATGGTGGTTTTGCAAGGAATCTTTCAAGACGAAGGCTTGATGATCCGTCCCCCGCCTGAGCCACCGCCGAAGATGATGTTTGAGGCAGGGTTTCGTTTGTTCTGTCAGTTTATTTTACTTATTTTTGCTTTACTCTTTTTGAGGTTCTTAGGTTTGAATGTTGTCATTGTTGTTTTCTGTATTGTTTATGTTCGCCAGACTCTTACATTAGGTGGGGGTGATGAGGGTTTTGCTCTAGCCACGTTTGGCTCATTTAGACCCATTACAGGACAAGCGAATCATATTGCTCTATATAGGGTGATTGGTTCTCCAGCTGGTCCGAGGGTCGGTGGCTGGAAGTTTCTCCTTTATCGTTTGTATCCCTTGCTGAATGTTTTATTATCAATATAAGCCCCCTCGTTACAAAAAAAAAGCTAAATTTCGAAATATACTCAAATTACCTTCTACTTTAAAAATATTTTTCGGAACATTAGAAAAATTACTTAATCATTAGGATAGGATAGATCCGGAATTATCTCATTGTGGAGATGTATTTACTAAATTAAATTAAATTTAAATAATTATTTAATTAAGAATATATTTTGAAATGACCATGACAAATTTGTTTAAATTACACAAAGTATACAATTTTTTTTACCTTTTTTAAAAAAAAACTATTTAAATTAGATCAAATTATTAAGTTTACATATATTAAAATCTTTGGAACAAATATACTACACTACAAATGTTGAACATAATTTAACATTACTTGTTCATAATTTAACACAAAGTGAACATAAATATGGAAGTATTATTTTTTCTATTTTCGAAATTATTTAATTATGAGGATGGATTTAATAAAATAATTCTGGACTAAAAATTAATAAATTATGAAGTTGAAGTTTGAAACAAACACAAATTACCTTTTGTTTTAGGAAATAATTTTAATCATTCGGAAATACATTTTAAGATGTATACAAAATTATTTTATTATGAATATGTATTTAGTAAATTACTTTCGGATTAAATAGTTATATAATTATGAATATAGTTTGTACTAAAAATGGCAAACGTCTTTAAATTACACAAAAGTGTAAAATTACACGAATTGTAATTGTGAAGGTAAATTTTGAAATGCAATTGAAGTTACCATATGATCTAGTAGAATCATCTTGAACGCACTAACGTTTTCTGGCTTTTCGTACTCCGAAACTTACCACAATCATATCAAACGTACACGAATCTGCATTCGCTGCTTCAGGTTGGATTTCTTCGAGATCGACAATTTTGATAGGCATGACGGAAAACTATTGGCCCTACAATAACATTTGTACCATTTTTAGAATGAACTGAACAAATGTGTGAGTATTTATATACGGAGTATATATGAACTTGTTAATTGAAATTCTGATCAGCAAGTTACTTCAATTTGATAATGGAAAGTTTCCAAATGAATTTTCAATAATTTAGTAGGGAATTATATCATATGATGGTATATGTCATGTGTATTCTACTATTATACATTAACGTTTTTTTTAGATTTCAAAAATCGGGTGCTCCCCTCATGTAACACATGTGTTACATCTGTTACCATATTCTACCCTATTTAATACGTAGTAGTTAATAGATATGTTACTTTATTCCATATGTTAGAAGATATGCGTATAAAGATGTCCTATAAATTAAAATGGTGTCTTCCCATATTTTCAATTGGATTGAAATTTGTTGGTTTGGTCTAGTTTAGGTCTAGTTTAGTTTGTTTAAGTCTAGTCTGGTTTGACTGAATTGATCTGATCTGATGAACGTTTGGTTTTTGTGTATTTTATAACTATGAAAGTCTTGTTTGATCTG